CCCAGGATCATTGCCCCAACCATCTCGTGTGTACAAATGCATGGCTTTGCCCCGTCATGTTTCCCAGCTTTTCTCCTTGCCCACTCCTCATTATCTAATCCTAAAGAGTTAGTCCAAGTTACAGCTATGAATCCAAGTTACTTAGTGCCAAGCAGCCTCGTATGCATATGCTCCCCTCCAATGGATATGAAAACAGCCATAAATTTAACATTAGCTTCTGACACAGATTCATAAGGATTTGGAAAACACAGGTACAAAGAAAAAGTATGCCTCATTATGAAAAAGAAATAGTAGTTAGGTTTCTTACAGAGAGACTTAAAAACTTTTACCTGGAGGTTTCTGTTAATGAGAGACTCGTCAAGTGTCGTTGCCAACTCTATAGCTCGTTTCTGACTAGAAGGATCTAAATAATATACCATTTTGGCAGCTAAATGAGAGGAAGAAAGGAAATCAGTTTTATTTTAAATAAACCCCAGTATCTAATCCTCTACTCATTCAAATATAAAATGCAAGCTCTGTGCACCCAGGACGTTGCACTTTATCAGAAAAATATGAAAGAGCCATTGAAGACACTTTATGGAAAAAGTAAATAAATACAGGTAAATGAAAAGCCTGACAAACTGCAATTGTCCAAAGTAGAACAGATCATGATATGTTATTATGCATATCTACTGGCAACAAAATATAATGTATTAGTAAAATATGCACAATCTAAGAGACAAAAGCACATAGTCCCCGGGTGTGGTGGAGCACGCACGCCTATAATTCCAGCACTTGGGAGACCGAGGTAGGAGGAACACTGAGTTCAGGGCCAACCTGAAATATATAGCAAGAACCTGTCTCAAAAAAAAAAAAAAAAAAAAGGAAGCACACAGTCTAGTGATGCTTGTTTTTCTGTGGTAGGACCATGGATAATTTACTAAAAAATAAATATAATAATATCATTTGGTGATGAGGGAAATACTTCAAGGACAAGGGGAAAGAGGGAGATAAGGGGGAACGTATAGAACCTCAGTGGTAGGAGACAAAAAGCCGATTGCAGGCTTCCAAAAAGGCAAACAAAGCTACTGGAATCTTGGCCAGGTGCTTGCAGGTACATCACTAAAGCACCACACAGGGCCCCACAGAGTACACACTTTGGTTCTTGGGCATAGGCCCTCATCTTAAGACTTGCAGTGAACTGTGAGACAGTTTCAGGACTTCAGCACTGCCAAAAGTGACACCTACATAACCATGAGAAATGGAAGATGGCAGTGACATGGAGTGAATTTCATAAGTACAAGGGAAATAGACTGAGACCAAGCTCCACCTACTCTCTACATTTCATTTTATTTACTTACAACTACTTCTTTGTAATACCAATACTGAATGAGTAGAAAGGACTGATCTTGAGTGATGACAATTTTGTCTAAAGAAATTCTAAAATATATACAAAGCATTTTAAATTGCTTATTTTTATTAGACTGAGATGTAACACACATATACCTCTTCTGAACTAAACTTGTATCTTGTCATGGACCCACTAATTACTACTCCTGAGAAGGCTAACAGAAGGAAAAAAAAAAGTGATTACCTGATAATCGATGTGGCAATGAATCAGAATTCCTTTTTAGAAAAGTTTCATTGAAATTCTTTGGATTCGTTGCTCCAAAAAGACGATTCATTTCTTGTTTTAATACTGTTCTAACCGTATCAGGTAAGTCTTTACTTTCACTCACTGCTAAATGAATTAAAAACAAAAGCTCTTAGATGTCAGATAAAGTTTGTAGTAGTTAACTCATCTAATTAATGAGGACAATGAAACACAGCCATTATAAAAAACTAAGACTAACCTACACTGAAAACATGTAAGAAGCCTACCTAATATAAAATAGAAGAGTATGTGTCACAAAAACAATTTAATGCACTGAAACAGTTTCATTGACAGAGGATTCATTTCCAGAAAGTAAAAGAACTAGAGAGAGAGAGAGAGAGAGAGAGAGAGAGAGAGAGAGAGAGAGAATGAATTCCATGGCTTTCTAAGCCTCTAGGGTAGCCCCACCTCAACTGTAAGGTCTGGGAAGCAGGGGCTAGCAACACCTGTCTGGTAAATATATAGTGCTGAAGGCAATTTCCTTACCCTCTCCTTTCTATATACCCAGCTAAGGCACATTAATTCATTAAAACAGAAATAAAAACGTGGTTGACTTCACTGACCTTTATCTTCAGGAACTATGTGAATTGAGCTATTTATCTTATAATAAACTCCAAAGGACCATCAAAGCATTTTCCTGTAATAAATATACTGTAGTCATCATATTTCCAGGCGTTGGGGATTTTGGAGAAGAAAAAATAGACCCCAATCCCTCTGGACTGAATCCAAGTTATGTTTTGTTGCATTGTTACTATACTATCTACAGACTGTCTGGAGTTCTGGATCCAGACAGACCTGGGTGTGGATTTGGGCTTGAAGAAGCCATGCGTCCTTGACCCTATTTCTTGATCTCTAAGATGAGGTGATGGTGGTAGCTAGGATAAGGTACTATGTGAAATGCTAGAGATACTCAGTCAACAGCAGTTACTATTGTTATATTTTGAAAGCAGTAATATTTTCCTTGTGGTTAAGAAAATGATGGTGCCTTTCAAATTTTGATCACATTCAAGCATTGATATTGGTTTTTTTGGGGGGACCACAAAAATATATATATTTTTGTATTAAGGAGTAGAAAAGAAAGTAGCCCCCACACTGGGCTCTATTCAGTGGCAGCTTCTTGTTCCATAAGGTTAAGAAGACTTTGAGGAAATAAAACTTGTTTGGAAAATTCCAGGTGTAATTGCTTTGTATGTTATGATGGGCAGAAGGGATGAAGTGAAGTGTGAAGGCCCCCACACCCTCCATGTGGGCTCAGACTATGTCCTGGAACCCTGGGACAGAGAAAATGCCACTTTCATTCCTGTTTCTTGGGACTGCTGATGGCCACGTAGTGACAGAGAACGACAAGCAAGAAAAGCGACATGCCCAGCATGTTGGCGAATATGGAGAGCTGCACGTCAGTGATCATCCTGACCAGCTCCACCAAGCTAAGCCACAGACTCTACACGGCCTGTGCATAAGCACCAACTCAAGCACTGATATTGGTTTTTTTTTTGTTTTTTTTTTTGGTGGAACCGGGGATTGAACTCAGGCCCTTGAGCTTGCCAGGGAAGCGCTTACTCCACTGAGCCATCTCCCTGGCCCCCCTGATATTTTAACAAGTATGTATCATCCTATATTCACACTACATGCGATATACGCTGATATATTCTACATAGTTGTTTCCAGTTGAGATTTCAAATACTAGTAATGATCCACTAATAACTGATGCCATTATCCCACTAATGTATCATTACTTTAAGTTTAAAAAACTCTGACTTCCAGGCAGCAAATATGCAGATGAAACATCCTGCATATTACTAATTGAGTAACTCACTGATAGGCCCTTTGTTGGCTAGGAAGCATTTTCCCTATTATTCTGTAGAAATGAATGGATCAAATATATGAGATACTAGGTAACGAATGTAACATTCCCTGTGGTACATGCACGATTGTCCATCAGGAGCCTTGTACCATTGTACAAACCGACCTACTCACTTTCATCAGTCTTTTTACTAATAAAATTAGTAGCTGCCTGATGGGACAGTGATGCATGTACTATTCAAGCCACCTGGCAGTGAGACGTATGAATTACAACCCTGTTGGGCATGTGTCAGCATACACATCAATTGTAGTAGGTGCACCTCTAGCAAATTATCAATAGGTTTTTTTTTTTTTCAGAGAAGGAGAAAAACAAAATGGAAGAAAACTTGTTAAAATTATGGCAAATTACAACTGTAATTTTTTTTTTTGTGGTACCCCAGATTGAACTCAGAACCCTGTGCTTGCCAGTCAAGCGCTTATTTATTCTACTGAGCTATCTCCCCAGGGCTCCTACAACTGTAATTGAGACAATCAGAACACTGTCTTGGAAGTTCATAGATTTTCTATAAAACAAGGTGATTTCCATGAGCCTCACTGGGGTGCCTGACGTGTTTTGGGGACACTGTATGTAGAGAGCAAAATAACCGCATACGTCCCTTGACAGCTGGAGGGCCATTTATGATTTTCATTATCTTAACTTATATTCCTCAGATTAAATAATTATTAAATAATCTCTCTAGAAAACCAAAGTTACTAACAACAAAATTCTCAAAAGTAAAAACAAATTTGTACATGCAGTGCATGTGTCTCCCAACTTTTCTAACAACTGTTTGCAAAACTAACTTAACAACTGTTTGCAAAACTGTTCGCTCATTTAGTAATTTCACTAGAAGTTTGAAGCATCCCTCAACTTTTTGGAAATATTGAGATGTAAACCCAGGCCGGGCCCTTGGCACTAAGCTACATCCCAACCCCCTTTTATTTCTTACTTATGAGACAGGGCCTTGCTAAATTTCCCAGGCAGGGCTTGAACTTGAGACACAACTGCCTCGACCTTCCTCAGTGCTGGGACTACAGGCTTGTGCTATCGTACTTGACTGAAGCCCCACTCATTTTAAATTATATAGATTTTATGTGTAGCTTTCAAGATGACATCAACTGCCCCTCGCCCAAGGTTTACTGCAGTACACATTAAAATGTCCTTTGGAATTAATTATCCATAATGAAATCTGACTTGTATCTTCAAAAAAAAAAGCAACTGCCACAAATGACAGATTTATAACCAACTGCTGTTTAAGACTAATGGCAGGAAAGTAAAACTTTATCTAGGAAGCTTTTTTGGGGGGGGCATGGATGATTCTTTTTGAGACAAGGTCTCACTCAGGCTGGCCTTGAGCTTACTTTGTAGCCCAGGCTAATCTTTTTTTTTTTTTTTTTGGAACCAGGGATTGAAGTCAGACCTTTGTGCTTGCCAGGCAAGTACTTATTCTACTGAGCCATCTCCCTGGCCCCTCAGGCTAATCTCAAACTCACAATGATCCTCTTGCCTCAGCCTCCTGAGTGCTGCTGGGTAGGAGGCTTTTGAACATAGTAAAATTCACAAAAAATACTGAGGTTTCATGAAAGTAAAATCTCAGATTACACAATTATCTCAAGAATCAAGGGAGTAGTAATTGATGAAGGACTGGGAGTAAAAAAGTTTTAAAAAGTTTTTCTGGCCGAGGAGATGGCTCAGTGGAATAAGCGCTTCCCTGGCAAGTGCAAGGAACTGAGTTCAATCCCCCGTTCCACAAAACAAACAAACAAACAAACAAACAAACAAACAAACAAACAAACAAAAAACCACTTTATCTTGGGCTGGTGAGATGGCTCAGTGGTCTAAAGCACCTACTTGGAACAAGCTTGGCAAAGCACAGG